CACGGTTTGTGAAGGTCGTCCGAAAGACGTTGACGCAGCGAAATCTGTCGAGGTTTCTGATCCTTCATCCGAGGGAGAGGAGGATAATGACGGAGTAGAAGAGTCTCAATCCCCTCTCCTTGTACATTATGCATTTCAATACTATTTTAATACTTGTAGCCACAAACATGTATGTTGTGAAGACCATGTTTTTGAATCCTTATTGTGTAAACAACTATTTATAAATAGAACTTATTAATTAAAGTTTTATGGCGACCAAAGCTATAATAAATAATAAATTGTATTAGTGTATGTTGTAATAGAGATGAAATCACAATCATTAAAAAGTTATTGCAATTTCATTTCTAATATATGAATTTCGATATAGATATATATTAGATTCTATTTTTTTAAAAATATTTTCACTCTAGATTCATATTTACAGTAATAACATTTTCAAGAAAAAGAAATATGTATCTAACCTAAATTATACTTTTTGCATAAAAATAAATTAGTTACATAATTATAAGTATATATATATATATAAGTTTTTTAAAATGCAAAAAGATAAAAATAAATTCCTTTTATTATCTATTATTTTCAAAATAATTTGCTTCTAACTTTTTAGTAACAATAAAGACATTCTTTCATTAAATTGGTTCAGTTTAAACAATTTTTTCAATTCATTGTTTCTTGATGCTACATATCCATTATAACAACTGAAAATAAAAATAAAGTATACAAAATATTGCATAGTTTAATTCAGAAATTTTATTAAAATTATGTAGGAAATTGGATTTTTTACCAAATACATATAAATATCAGTTACAGGGAGACAATAATAATAATAATAATAATAATAATAATAATAATAATGATAATAATAATAATAATAATAATAATAATAATAATAATAATAATAATAATAATAATAATAATAATCTTTAAATGACCAAACACCTAAAAAAGATTAGATATGTGTTTTATTTTCGTATGACCAAGCACATATAAAACCCAAACATGAAAACATCCTAATTTTCTTATGATTATTCATGAAGAATATGATAACAGTAAAAACGCTAGCAAATAATTATAATACAAAGAATTGTAATAATTTTTAAGGTTTATTAAGGGAATAAAAAAAGATAGACATTTATTGATATTAAAATAATAGAAAAGAAGGAAAATAAAAATTCATATACTATTAATTTTAAAATTATCGCTTATTTTTCTAAAATTTTTGCTTATTTTTCTAAAATTTTCGTTTATTAATAATTTCCTGTTTATAAGGAAAATCACTATTAGATATTTATAAGAAAAATCAAATGTATAATTATTTAAAAGAAATTATTTATCTTAAACCAATGCCTACTGACTTTGTAATTAATTTAAACCGTATATTTTATTTTAACTTGAAAATAAGGTTCGTTAAAAAGGAATACTACCATTAAAATAAATTTAGAAATTTTATAATTATAATTAAACCAATTTTTATTTTACCTTGCAAATAAGATTCTGGACAGAAATTACAATTAAAATAAAATTATACGAAGTTTTTTACAATTTTAAATGTTTGGTATTTTCTAAACATAAAAAATAATATTAAATATTTATAAGATGAATAGTTTTCTAATATTTTAGTTTGTAGGAAAATCATATTAAAATAGTTTTAGTTTTTATTACTTTAAACACACGTTTAAAAGAAATACTATTATTAAATAATTATTTAATCGGAAATATATTTTTTACAGTTTGTTAAAGACTTTCTACTAAAGGAAAACAAATTTTTTTAAAGTTTATGCATATTTTATTAACTATTAAATTGATTATTTTCAATTTTCTAAATTTAATATATTTTTAACAGAAAATAGTATTAAATACTTTTAAGAGAAGTATTTTGTAAATATTTTACAAATGTGATCAAATTTATATTCAAATTATGTTTAGTCTTTTATAACTAACTTAAACCAACATAATAAAAAGATATATTATTAAATAATAGTTATTTTATGGAAGTATAATGTTCTACAGTTTTTTGCTAAGATTTTCTTTTTTTAAAAAGGAAAACTAAACTTTAAATTATTTTAGTCAAAGTTTTTCTTTCAAAAAAACTGTTATTTAATACACTAAGGCCGGCCCGCCCTACGGGTGGGATATACTTTGATCTAGAATATTATTACTTGTATAATTTTGTGGTATATGTTTTAGGTTTGCATTTGGAATAGATGTGTATGATAACAATTTTTGTATTTTGTAAGGTTTAAGATGAGGAAGGATTATATGTGAAAATATATTTTGATTGTCTACAATAGTTATTTTTATATGAAAGAATTGTGGCGGTGGTATGGAGGACATGTTTCTTTTCAAAACACTTTGATCCTATATTTGGTGTGTTATTTGTTGTTTGTAGTATTTTAGGTTTGGAAGTATTGGGTTGTAGATTTTATTTATCAAATTTGTGTGAATAGTTTTGAGTTGTAGATAGCTGATGTTGGTAATTAGTTATGACTTACTGACCACAATATTAGAACTTGAAGATAACAAATGGAGGTTTTAAAGTTAACAGATATTTTGCTTTGATGCTTTTTGTTATGTTTTTGTTGAAAGGTCTTCAATCTGAAGTTATGTTTTTGATACTATATTTTTATAATTTTTTACAATTATTTTATACTTTTTACAATCTTATTTGTATTTTATATAATATTGTTAACAGTTAGGTTTTTAGAGTTATGTTGTTGTTAAAGATATTTTCATGGTCGTGACAAAAAATATTAGTATGATATTGATTTATATTTTTAAGATCGGTTAATCAATTTGAATTATTTTTCTGATATGTTTAAGTGTCTAATGAAAGGGTATGGGCACTCGGTATCCGATGGAGTTCAGTACGTGTTTATCCGTGCTTTGGGTTTGTAGATATAGAGACTGAAATTTAATACATAAATTTTAATGTTTAGTGGCTCGGTTCAGAATGTGTGGGTTTGGATATCCAATTAAATTATGTAATATTTATTTGAAAATAAAATCTATTTTTAAATCATCAAAATTCTAAAATAAAGTAGTATACATATATTTTGGAAAACATATGATTAAATACTTATAATTATCATGAAAATTAATTCGAACATTATATATTTACTTTTGGCTATTTTAACTATTATATGGTACTTTAGACAAGTTTAAGTACTTTTGAACATTTTGGATATTAGATCTAAAATTAATTATTATGAGTAAATTTATATAATTGGCTATTTCTGAATAATTGAAATATTTCAGCTCTGTATCGGTTGATAATTTTTTTGAAAGCATTTAAATAATTTACCATCTTGAGTTCGAGCTTGTTGTATTTTGGATCTAATTTAGCATGGAATGTACGTGCGGGATGTGCTGTATTGTTTTTTTTTTTTAAATATAAAATCTTGTAAGCGTTTTTTGTATGCTTGGCAGTGTGATAATTTTAATCGATAAGTAATTGTATGGTCAACTTGCTCCTTATAATATCTAAAGTTGTTGTTTATGTTTTTTTTTTTTTTGAAAATGTTATGCGTGAGAGAAGGTCATTGCCAAAGGACAACTGGAAGAGTTTAATTTGTTGCTAATGAATTTGTTGAATTCTGAGGCCGTTTCTTTTTATACAAAGGTGGTGAATTTAATTTGGGAATTATGCTAATATAGAACAAAAAAAACAGCCTTCATGTCCCATTAGTATAAATCCTTATTACTCTTGTCCATTTAGTATAATATTTTCTATAATCCCAGAAGTGACCCTGGATTAATGTAATTAAATAAAAAATTTAATTAGAATTCAATTTATAAAATATTAATCAAATTAAAAACTAAGGGGATTAAAATAATAATAAAACCAAAAAAAGGAACAAAATCTCTTTCACTCTCCCGTAACCCTAATTTGATAAACCATCCTCTATTTCGAGAAGAAAACAAAGGTGATTGTGTCTTCTCCGGCAAAGGCGATTGTGTCCTCTCCGGAGAAATCGACGGGGAGATCTTCTCAGGCGAAATCGACGAGGAGATCTTCTCAGGCGAAATCGACGGCGGCTGTCTTGTTCTCTCCGCCTCTCCGTATCAAACTATAGGTGACTTCTTTGGGGGAAGGTGTATCTTTGGAAGCTAAACTTCTGAGCCGGTAGTCAATGTCAATACAGTTTTATTTTGCCAATTTTTAATTTTTTTTTGGTTGAATTTTAAATGCTTACATGAATGTACTTTGTCCCAATGCTGCAGAAAAGAAGCTGCTTTGCGTCAGAGAGAGGTACTCCATAGTCTGAGCTCCCTCTAGATTCTGTTACGTGATTGTTTTGTTTTCGAGTATAAATATGTTGTGGTGGCTATTAGATTTACTAGCACTCATTCTGTGACAGATGGCTCTTAAAAATGCAAAGCAGAATAGGGAAGGGGCTAATAAGGAGACTACTGCTCTCTAATCTCAACACTATGAATCCTTTGAAACGTTTGGCAGGCTTGGCTCACGTACTTTTGGAGAAGAGCCCTGTCACTTGGCATAGATGTGGACATTGCAAGAGAACGTCTTCAGTTCTGGACTAGTAGAAGTGCACACTCTCCATCTTCACATGACGCCATGGAAGGTACAATTTAACATAAATTTTTACCAAGAGAGGATACAAGGTCTAAACTGGTTAGTTCTAATTTTCAGTTGAGCAAGGGCTAACAGAGCTAAGAAAGCGGCGTATAGAACGTCGATTATGGGAAGCCTCCAGGTCCAACCAGTAGTCATGACCTTCGACCCCAGGGTTCCAGAACAGTCATGTTACCACAGTTTTAACAGTATTGTATATCTTTCTTCTTGTGTGGTTGAGTACTTTTTGCAGTCAGAAAATGTTAATCCAGTTTTGTAAACTTAAGAATTGCATTTGAACTACTTTTAACATATAATGTATTCACGTTTGCACGCTCTTACTTTTAATTTGCAGACTTGTTTTTGTTGGATTAGTATCCAACTGAAAGTATCTACAGATACTAATACATACTCTAAAGATCACCAGTCACCAGTAATCGTTGCATGAGCACTTCCCCTTCTTGAAATGGTGAAACCTTCTAGAATCTCGGATGATGATTTCATGTCCTGTAACCAAAGACACATGCTTTGCAAACTCATGGCAATCTGGACATGCTCTGAGATTCTTGAATACCTTTATAGGTGAACGAGCATTGCCATTCACCGATATCAACCCATATGCAATAGCAAGTCTCTCGATGTGATCACGAAGCTGTTCTCTTCTCTCTGTCATACTACACTGAAACACATCACCTTCCATAAAATCATCAAACTCCTTGAGCTTCTCATAGATATCCTGAGTTTGTGGATGGTGTTTATCACCCACTATAAACCGATGAATCTTACCCTTTTCTCTGATCCAGCTGCAGCTTAGTTCCTTCTTTAGCATCTTGTCATTCATTAGTTTCATCATTTTAGCAGCTTCTTCCCATCTTCGAGCCTGCGTATACAGATTAAACGGTAGAACATATCCAGCCGTATCTTCTGGATCGAGTTGGCGTAGTTCCTCACCAGCAATCTCCCCTAGTTCGTGATTCTTGTGCGTCCAACACCCACTAAGAAAGCATTTCCAACTCATTGCATCAGATTCAAAAGGCATATTCTTCATAAACTTGAGAGCTTCGTCTAATAGTCCTGCACGGGAATAAATGTCTATCATACAATCATAATGGTTAATAGTTGGAGCCACGTTGTACTTTGGAAGCATAGTGTCCAAATAACGCTTGCCCTGTTCAATCATACCTGCGTGACTGCATGCGGTTAAAACTGCAATAAAAGTCACTGAGTTTGGCTTCATGCCACAACTAACCATTTCCTCAAACAATCTCAGAGCTTCAGAGGCGTTTCCATAGTAGGCATGACCTGATATAAAAGCTGTCCAAGCAACAATGTCTGGGTTATCCATCGACTCAAAGACTGCACAGACATCATCTAAGCATCCACATTTTGAATACATTGTAATGAGAGCGCTTTCTCCATACTGAGAACCAACCAGGCTTCTTTTTATAGCATCCCATGGACTTGGCCACCAATGTTGCAATCTGCAAGTACATAACAAGCTTGGAATATGCTAGTATATGTAAACGAATTTAGAATCGCCACATTTTTGCTTCTCAAATACTTGAAAGTTTTAATAGCCTCTTCAAACTGACTCATCTGGCAGTATCCAGAAATGATTGCGCTCCAGGAAACATCGTTTGGTTCACTGATTTTCTCGAATGCACGAAGAGCAGACTCAAAGCTGGAACATTTGATGTAACAATCAACGAGAGGAGTACCAACCGAGACATCAGATTCCAGACTTAGCTTAGCTACACATGCATGAATCTGCTTGCCAAGATTAACCTCTTCAAGAGTACCTCACCTGTTAGAGTACATCTTTCGAATGACGGGACCGATCGATCCCAGAAAGAGTCCGGTTGATCCCAACGGTCGATCCCAACGGTCGATCTCAATGATTAAACAAAAACATAAAAAAGCACGGAGCAGAAACTGATCGACCTTGTCCAGTTCATTCAATCTTCACCGATCGATCTATCATAGATCGGTCGATATCTATTTTAGATCGATCGATCCCGATCCCAGATTATTAAAAAATATTTTTTTGAATATTTTACTAAATATTTTCCCAAAATTTCGGGTTTTTTGTTTAATCTTATCCGTAGAAGCTACCTTCTACAGAAAGTAGAATTACTAACGTCCCACTGTAAGAAAATGCTACTAATAGTAGAGGTTTGAGTTATGTGTAGATTACGTATTCTGAGATATGTAGAAGTGGCTTAAAATGTAGAACCCGCATTCAGTTATTTTGTAGAATTCTATATAAACGTAGAATATAGATTCTAAAAAATGTAGAGTCCTATAAAAACGTAGAATATAGCTTCTAAAAATTGTAGAGTTTACTGTTTAACGAGGAATATGAGTTCTACTATTTGATTTTTCGTAGAATATGAGTTCTACTCTCCGTAGAACGTAATTAAAATTTTTAATTTAACAAGTTTTTGAAAATATTAAAAATATCACTTTGTGTATATAGGTATTTCATCACTTCTCTGTATTTTTATATATTTTTCCGAGTCATAGAATTATTTATTTTATTAATTTTTGTAAATAGAAAGGGTAAAAGGGAGAAAAAATGGAAAAAAATGATTTATACTAATGGGACATGAAGACTGTTTTTTTGTTATATATTAGCATAATTCCCATTTAATTTCTGCATATTTAGTGAAATCGTGTTGTTTAGATAGGCCCTTATATTAATGAGTAAAACAGTTTTCACGCAATAAAACATAGTAATATTATATTATTAATACAACTCTTTCAATGCTTTCATATTAGATACATCTGTTATTTTTGATAATTTAACCGTGGATCAGTTTTGTAACGAAAAGTTTTTAGATCAACGAAAATATAAAGGGGAAACTGTTTTTTAGATCAAATAGGTTTGAATATTGTCCCTTTAGGCTAAATTATATTTTGTACCAATTTTGACTTTAATGCCCTTTATGTATTTTCGAAATTATTAAAAAAAATAGATTTATGAAGCAAATTTTTTTTAAAAAAATAGTACATAATGATGAAATCTCTATATCTATATAGTGATATTTTTTTCTTGTTTTAAAAATATGTAAATAATAATTTCATATATCTATTCTACCGAAATTAGAATATGTATTCTACGGATTAGAATACGGAATCTACTTTTTTCACTATTTCTACGAATTGTAGAATATATTTTCTACGGAGATAACATGAATCTAAAATAGTTTGGAATACACATTCCACGCTTATCATATAGTTCTAAAAAGAGTAGAAGTTGAAATCTAAATTCGTACTTAAATCTAAGACAAGTAGAAGTCAGAATCTAAATTCGCACAACGTTCTAATACACATAGAAACTGATTTCATATCTTTTTACACAGTTCTACGTTTAGTAGAATCTGAATTCTACGGATAAATATTATTAGATCCGAAAATATAGCAAGAATATCTTAGAAAATATTCTATTATCATATTTAAAACTCCATTTTTTTAAAAAAAAAATAAGGAAAATTCGATTTTTTTTTTTAAAAAAGGAAAATTCGATTTAAAAAAAAAGGAAAATTTAAAGGCAAAAACGTTTTATTAAAAGGAAAATCTTTGGAAAATATTTTCCGGAATCTTTTTGATCAAATCGAAAATATATTGTTTATTTTTTTATTTTTTTTTTATTTTTTTTATTTGTTATTTTTTATTTTTAGTTTTTTAATTTTTTAATTTTTTAATTTCTAATACAATTTTTTAATTAAAAATAATAATTTATTATTATTTTCTAATTATAATTACGAATTATTAAACTGTTTTAAGGGTATTATTGCCATTTAAAAAACAATTAATCTAATGGAACAATAACTAAATGAGATTAGACTAAAGAGACAATTTCTTAATGGTTTTGGTCTAAAAAAACTATTTTCTCAAATATAAATCATGTAGATCTATTATATTCTCTCGAGAGATGTTTTATAATCGAGCTAGACCATAAGAAATCAAAGTATATTTTGCTTATTCCATTTGACAGAACATAATTCTACAAAACATACAGAAGTGATTTAATATACTTCAATATCAGTGAAACATAGACCTTAGAACATTGACAAAAACAAAATATAATGGTTACGTTGCTTATACTATTTGGCAGTACATAGTTTCACTTGGAATCACCCTACTTTTGAAATAACGACTCAAGAAGCCACCTTTAATTTGTACCAAAATAGCTAGTATGCGTCTAACATATATATTTTGTACTTTGTTAAAGTTACAACATTAAAAGTAAGTTTATAATTTACACTGTAAATGTATGTATCTGGTAGCTGTAGATTGTAGTTATTCAAGTTGTAGATATGGAACCATGGACCATTTTGTATGTTATGATTCTGGCCAGAGACATTCTTTAGGTTTTCTAAGAAACATGTGCGTATTTCTTGATACAAATTTTCAATCCTAGTCATAACAAAGAAAGACCCATCATCATTGCGGGTCTTGATACCAAATTGAAGGTGTTGTAACTGAAAGGGCATCACATCGTCGGTCTCGATAACGTTTTGGCTATCTCAACAACTCCCCATGAACTTGCAACCGTCACTGCCTTCTGGAAGTCATCCAACACAGCAGCTCATCCTTACTTCTTGCACTTTCCTCCATACAAACTTCTACTCTCTTCAACGGCAATCCAACAACTTAAACTGATTCTACCATATTCAATGTATGTTATGATTATCAACTGAGAGAAAGGATGTCAAAGCAGCAGCTGATTGAAGCAGAGCTAGCTTTGATGCTTCACCAGTCTTCTTGGAAGAATATTCATATTTTTTGAGCTTACAGAAAGTAATTAGTCGCTTGGATTGTAGGAATGGTTGCTTCTCCAGATCCTGGCTGTAACGGCTGAAGCAAATGTACCTACAGGTGAATGACACACGAAAGGAGTAGCATCAGAGACAGATACAATGAATATACAGTTGAAATTACTTAGTGCTTACACTTTGTAGTTCACTTTCGGAGAGAGTAGCCCAAGAAATGCCTCTTCAATTTCTTAGCAGCCTTTTTTAGAGTGTTTACTACATATAGAAATTGACGCATTTTCAAAGAGAAAGAGGACTTTACGCTCCATCCTCTATATATACCGAATTGGTATAATATAAAAGAAAGCAATGGAGACAAAAAAAAACTAAATGGGAAGAAAACTTTTTCTTGCAACTCATTTGGAGAACACAAACACCCACACAAAGACGAACCCTCAAAATAAAAGAAAAATACATATTTGGATAAAAGAAAAATCGTCACCCTTAAAGGATGTCAAAGGAGGAATGATCAAAGTGGTGGAGCTCGAGGCCATTACCAACATCCTTGTAGCAATATAAATCTGATTCTTATGTTTGTGGAGCCAAATCAGAGACAATGGAATATCAAGTGAAATTAAAAATAGAAGTTAACCATTGTACTGAAAGATATTTCTATAGCTACTGGAATATTTGGAATTGTGAGGATGACTGTAAAGGGATGAGGCCTAACCTTTTATAGGTAGAGATCGAGTGCTTTGATAAGGGATAAAGATCATTGAATGAGTGATCGTGGTTGCAGTCATTGAATCAATAGATATTGTAACGGCGGTAAGGAGAAGAGTCAATACAAAACGACGCAAACATACACATACACTTAGATGACCGACGAAGAGTTCTTTCTCTAGTACTTTCATAAACTCTATAGATGCAGACCTACACAGATTTGAAGGATACACTAAACTAACGATGGATACAAATTTAGGGTTGGAAAGCGACTGTCGGGCCAACCTTATGCTATTTCGGGTCATAGATTCAAGCCCTACATAATAATAACCATCTAAGCCCAATAGAGAAGAAACGAAACTGAGTCTTTTGTTTGGTTAGGATGACACGTGTCACTCTCCTCTTGGTTTATTTAATGACGTGGATGTCTCACAAGAGAGATAACTTTACTTTATATAAATATACTAGTAGTCTGACCGCGCTACGCGCGGAATATTTGTCAATATTTTATTTTAAAACTGTTGTATATATTTTAAATTTCTCGGCTGATGGATATCTCTTTCTTGTTCTATTTACTAGTTTCATTTCCCCCGCGCAAGCGCGGGGCCAGGCACGTTGACGAAGCATTACGTAATATTGTATTGAGATTATGAAACATTGGAAGTCAGACGGTTTGATTAGTTTGATGTAACAGCAATCTAGAAATGCTTCCAGAAAAATTTGATGCTTGTGTTTTTTTTTGTATATATTTAGTTTAAATTATAATGTATATAGGTTTGAATGTAGAAAGGGGTGGTTAGTGATATTTTTTGTTAAGTAAGTGAATATTTTTTTTTAATGGATTTTTAATTTTAGTAATAATTATAATGTTTTAGCAATTATTTTTTTGTTTTAATTTTAATGTTTTTTGGGTTGTTGGTAATTGGCATATGAAGATTAGGGTATGACGTATGTATCTGCTGAGGAAATCTGTTATTTATAGGAGTTTGGGGTCAAAAAAGAACCTTGTTCCTTGCGTGGAGTTTAGGTACAGATTACCTGCTCAATTAAAATAACATGTCAACTAAAACAGTATATAAGAGGTTTAAGGATGAATCAAAACAGAGGATCCTAACCTCCAAAGAGTTTTGGATTAACAGTGGTTACCAACATTACAGCCTTGGATTTATCCCCTGGTTTCAAGAGGCCCCTGAAGGTCGATGCAGCTTCATCCCACAAAGTTAGGTACACAGTTACATTCCTGTGTTGCAAGCACAATATAATCAGTTTTAAAACCACAGATGCACCAGCCAGTGAGGAACTACTAAGCGAGAAAGGTGTTTTTTGTAGACATGATAAGCGCAAATTATTTTATTCGAGAAATCTATATACAACACAGTAGGTTGTGTCTTAAATAACTACAAACTACACAGTTAAAAGGCCCCAAAATAATAACTGAAATCATTTCGTTTTAAAAACTTGTGACTTTACACTGTTTGAAAGTTTTTCTTTTCATTATAAGAAGAATTCCATTAGTTTCAAAAGTTATGTTTCTTCATTAGAAATAAAATTACGGTAATGCATGCTTGAAGAGTTTTGTCCCAATGTCATTCTGGGAACTTTAAACTATATAAATGCAGATGTATTCCGGTAAACTCTTACTACTTGCAAAATTTAGAAAATTCGTAAGTGAATCCACAGATATATGCCAATTACACACGATGAACACAACAAATATGTGAACATAATGACAAAATCCATGCCTGAATATGCCATATATGCCAATCTAATAACAAAAAAACAAAGAGACGACAATAAACAAATCAACAAAAGTATCTGCAACTAAATTAATGTTACGCCAACTCATTTATATTATATCTTTTTCACCTTTGGGATCCTCGTTACAATATTACATGCGAAAGGTGATTTTTTTTAATAAATGGTGAAATCGTTACAGTATTGCACTTAGATTAAGTCTTTCAATCAAAGAAAGGGTTTTACAGTGGCTTCAAATCAAGTGCTATTTAACAGGTAACCTATAATAAGCATTCAAACATCCAGAGATCATAACCCATAATTCAGAGAGAGTGAAAGGTTGCTTACGGTTCAATCAAGAAGCGAACCACAAATCTGGTGGTGGCAGATTCGGTGCTCAGATCAGAGCCCTGGACAGAGCGGATTTCACCAACAACATCTGACCACAAACAAAAAAAAGTCTTAAAAATAGAACTTTGATACAGAGAATCAAAAGGCACACGACAAAACAGTGTTACGTGGAAATCTAGATATAGAAAAGACTGAAGACAGACCTAGTAGTTCTAGGTTGGTATTCGCTAGGACCTGGAGGTGGTCATAACGCCTCACCATGAACCTGTCAGACTTGATAACAGGGGCCCTCACCAAGGCGTGTAGACGGTAGGAAACGGATCAAGAACTGATGTTCCTTGACCTTGTACATGTGTGCAACCCGTGCAACTTCAAATCGGTCCAATCTGACAATAGAACCAGCTTTCAACGATGGTCGGTAATGACTGGCCCGGTTCGCAGGGATGAAAGCCATACTTGATTAGTTCACTGATAAATGTTAGAAAACAGATCTGTGTAATGGACATAACGTACCAGTTCGTCGAGAAGTAACAGCGTAATCCCATAAACTCCTCGTTCTTATTAACGTTGCGTGAATCCTAGAAAAGAATCAGGCGCGCGACAACAGACTGAACCGTCCTTCCAAGTCAAAGAGAGCCGAAAGTGGAGTATCCAACGGCGGCGTTGGCAATCTGAGCATCTGAAGAAGGCATAACTTCGTCGGCGGCTGCAGGGTTTATCAAAATATGAGGAGGAAAAAAAAAGGAGAAACCAGAGACCCTATCTACAAACATATATATAGATGGATCGAAGTCGTAATGATGGCATAAGAGTTACAAAAATTGAAGATGAGGAGAGGAGTCGAAGAGTGCGAAGTGGGGGAATACGTTCGCCGGAATCAGAAACGTCTTGAGAAACAAAGATCTAGATGTCTATAACCAGACAGGCCAAAAAAAAAAAGCCCAGTAACTAAATTTAAAATGCGAACAAAAAAAACATTTTGTGGGGTATCGAACCCGGTACCCGCGGTAGGAAGCTCTAGGTCTGCGGATTATACCACTGGGCCAAATGCTCATTTATTGTTAGTAATCAGCGTTAATAAGTTATGTAGTTACAAAACCGTGCGTTGATGGAAAAAGTGCTGACGTGGCGCGTTGGGAGTGAGTAAACTCCCTCATTATAATATAGATTTCGGACACTATCTTAGACCATGATTAACCATGGGTCTAAGCTATGGTTCTTAAAAAAAATAATTTTAAAACTCGCGAATCCCACTATTATCTTAAGAAGCAATTTTTATGTGCTTTGTGTAAAAGTCAACTCTTGCAAAGTTTTTCAAACTATTCGCGGGTTCTACCGACACCCGCAATTTATTTATTTTTTTAAAATTTATTAATTTTTTTAAAGCAAAAAAAAAAATCCTAAGAACCCTTATACTAAGAGGTAAGGGTTCATCATGCTCTTAGTTCTCCCTCACTCAGTATCTCTTTCTCTATCTAATACTTTAACTATAAAAAAATGTGAGATAACGTTTTGTGTGGTTACTAATAGTTTTTACTAAACTATGGTTTCTTATCTTTTTATGGCGTGGGTTATTGTTTTATAAAAGTTCACAAAGTTTCTCTTATTAACGGTACAATTTGTTGCCAAATTGATATCTTCATCTTGATAATAAATGGTTGTATTTCATTTCTTTTGAGTGGTTTTATGGCAGGAATATTATAGAGATGATATCAACATGTTCTGTTGTCAAACTTTCCTGTAGCTTGGAGTTGTGTCGTTCCTACTAATCAAACTGCATCCTTAGTGGTTATCTTGATTGTTACTCACATTTCAGTTCTGGCGTCAACTTCAGTTTTTGGAGCTTCATATGTGCTCTTTATTTGGCATAGCTTCATCTCATTTCTTAACTTATGGACATTGAGTTCAGAGAACTTCTCCATATCCATTGGTTGTTTAAGTGTAATGACTTTTTTTTTGGGAAAACAGTGTAATGGCTTTTATCTATCAATTTCTTGTTTATCGCTCTGTTATTTTAGTACATGTTCTTTGTGCTGATTTAATTTTATTATTTCCTATTGTAAATATTGTTCCCCTGGTTGGGAAGTGATCTATCAATCTAAAAAAGATTAGTTGATCAGTCAAAAATTGGCTTCTAAGTATATTTTAGTGAGATTATGATAATTTTTATATAATCTTTAAAAGACAATATTTATCGAAGAGTTTAAGGTATCTTAATTTTATATTGAAGTCGCAGCATTTATTTTGATATTTTTGAGTAAGTAAAGTGTTTATATATAAAATTATTTCCTCTTTAACATAAAACTATTTTGTAAATTTTGGTATTAGTTTTTGTTACTTTAGAAGTACTACAACAATCAGATATTATGTTTAAGATGAGGAGACCATTTTTTTAATATAGCTATATGTATAATATACATCAATTAGCCAGTGCTTTTATTCATTTTTAATTCAAATTAAAAATAGAAAAATACAATAGTTTGTAGAGTAATTACACGCACACAAATTATATTCAACTGCTGATCTTCTTGCCTACATTATATTCAGTTTAGAACTAAAGACATCGGAAAAGAAAGAAGAAGAGGGGCTAAATGGTTGAAGAAGAAGCATCGAATACTTTCTCATTTATATTTTCCTTCTATGAAAAGACATGGAAAATCTTACCTTTATTGGCTAATGGTGAGTTTAGATGGTGATAGGGGGGGGGGGGGGGGGGCGCTGTTGTTAGATTAAGAAGTGTAGATCTAGATAATGCTAAATTAGATAATTTAAGGTTTTAGGGGCCCGTATTAGTTGTGACGATTACAAACTAAAGAGGACTTTTGTTTAGTTAAAAACTTGTTTCAAAGTTTAAACTTTAAACCATGAAAAGATATGAAAACCAAGTTTTATACGATCACTAGGTATGGACCCGTGCGTTGCACGGGTTTGTTTGATTTTTTTATTTTATGAAAACATAAAAAGAATAAGAAATTTTTTTACAATAATTTTAGAATTTAGGTGTATATTATGGGACACATTTTTGAATTAAGAACCTATTTTGACATAATTTTTAATTTTTCTACTTCATGTTTTAAAATAGTCAATAATGTTTTTGTTTTTATTAATTATTCTTTTTTTTTTATATTTATTTCATTATAATGAAGTAAAAGGAGTAAAAAAAGTATAACCATAAATAGTTTTAGTTTGCCATAACCTAGACCAGTCAAATTAGAAACTCAAATAATATTACCAAAAGTCTAGAATTGGATTAGTCCGTTGTCAGATTAATACAGTTTGTAGCATTCTTACAATATTGTCAACTTGGCATTATCATTGCAAATCTATAAATTTCATTATCAATTATTTTTTCAATTATAGAAATGGAAAATTTTTACTAAAGAAAAAAGTAGAGAAAATAGTATTAAATAATTTTTAATTCTCATTTTCTTAAAAATGAGATATTTTAGCACATGTACAATTTTTAAAAAAAAATTACAATGGAATATTATTTTTAAAAGTTTCATATTTAATAGTCAAAATTATTTTACATATTTGTTTCTTTAGGATTTTTAAAAAAGAATTTATCTTAAAAACTAATATTAAATAATTTTAAAAATTATATTTAACATTAAATAATTTTGAAATTATTTGTTTTAAAAATTATTTGTTTCAGAAATTCATTTTCTAGTTTCATAGTATATATATTATATCCATGAAATATTCTTACACATGTCGCAATATTAAAAAGAAAATTTTTATGTGACAGCGATGTTATGGCGTGGTGGCAATAACTTTAAATGTATTGCTATGTGACAACTCAGAAGTTTCGATCAAAAAAAAAAAAAGACAGAACTCAGAAGCATGACAACGATCAAACAATAATCATGACAATGATCAACCATAACTTTATAAGAAGAAAAGAACATCGAACTTCACCTTATATTTTTCTTGAATCAATAATTATGCTTGGTGATAAAATATGAGAAGTGACCAAATATGAGAGATCTTAGTTCTATATATAGAGATGTGAATAATCACAGTTCCTCTTCGATTATGATATTTTTAATTAGGATTTGAATAAAGGAAAATTAACATTAATCAGTATTTAACATTTATTTCGTCTAAGTTTTCTTAAAAGAATAATGACTATTTAATATTTCTTTTTTTTTTGTTAAGTTTTAATTAGATTTGAATAAAGGAAAATTAACATTATGAGAGTAGAAATATTTTAAAAAGGAAAAATATTTTTTTTTTTACAATTATCTTTTTTTTGTTATAAAGGACAATTAGCATAAAATAGTTTTTCCATTTTTTAGGTTTATATTTTAAAAAGGATAATTACATTCGGTTTGGAATAGGTTTTGTTAAAATTAAAATTACTATGAATTTTTAAAAAAATTGTTTTATTATAATAAGATTTTTCTTATTTAATAAAGTATTTTAAAAAATCATTTTATTATAATAAGATTCTTTTTTTTTCGTTTTGACCTTTTTAATTAGAATTTGAATAAAAGAAAATTAGCATTATGAGAGTAAAAATATTTTTAAAAGGAAAAATATGTTTTTTTAAAAAAATTATCCTTTTTTATTATGAGAGTAGGAAACTGTTTATGTTTTTTTTAAAGGATAATTACTATCTAATAATTTTTTCTTTTTGACCTTTTTAATTAGGATTTGAGTAAAGAAAAATTAACATTATGAGCGTAGAAATATTTTAAAAAGGAAAAATAAAATTTTTATATAATTTTTTTTACGATTATCTTTTCTTAATTGTAAAGAACAATTAGCATAAAACAGTCTTTATCATTTTTTTGGTTTATATTTTGAAAAGGATAATTACAATTCGGTTTGGAATAGGTTTTGTTAAAATTAAAATTACTATGAATTTTTTTTAAATTTTTTTATTATAATAAGATTTTTCTTATTTTTAAAAATCGTATTTTCATAAAAATTATAAGAAAACGTTTTATTATAATAAAATTCTTTTTTCGTTTTAATGATAGTTGTAAAAAAGTTTTATTATAAGATAAGATTTTTTTTTCGTTTTAAACTTTTTCGTTAGGATTTTAATAAAAGGAAAATTAGCATTATGAGAGTAGAAATATTTTAAAGAGGAAAAATATGTTTTTTTGGACAATGTTTTTTAACACATGTCACAATCTTCTCTAATAACTTGCCATGTGTCGCGATCGTGTTAATTAATAACTTTGAGGAACCAAGCTTTAAGATTTTTTTTTTCGTTTTAAACTTTTTAGTTAGGATTTTAATAAAGGAAAATTAGCATTATGAGAGTAGAAATATTTTAAAGAGGAAAAATATGTTTTTTTGGACAATTTTTTTTAACACATGTCACAATCTTCTCTAATAACTTGCCATGTGTCGCGATCGTGTTAATTAGTAACTTTGAGGAACCAAGCTTTATATAATAAGATTTTTTAAGGTATAATTACTATTTTTTGACAATTAACTTTT